GATAGTCATCCGGACGACTGCCATATCCCAGATTTTGACGAGGATGATAAGGCAAGGAAGATGGAAGAAAAGATCAGGATGTTAGAAGACCAAATGAAGATGGTCCAAGGAGACCATGATTATTATGGTGTGGATGCATTGGAACTAAGTTTGGTTCTCGATTTGGTGCTTCTACCAAAATTTAAAGTTCCTAAGTTTGAGAAGTTCGACGGGAACAACTTCCCTTCAGCCCATATCACTATGTTTTATCGGAAGATGACAGGGTATGGGGGAAATGTCCAACTCTTAATCTATTGCTTTTAGGAGAGCCTGTCCGGTTCAGCTATCCGGTGGTACAACCAGCTCAGCCGAACTCATATCAAGACATGAAAAGACTTAGCCAAGTATTTCTTAGAGCAGTACAAACATATCAATGATATGAGACCAGACCGAGTTATGCTGCAGAGCTTGGAAAAGAAGCATAACAAAAGTTTCCGACAGTACGCACAGAGATGGAGGGATTTATCTGTGCAAGTTTATCCACCCTTGGATGAAAAGGAAACTAGAAAGTTGTTTGTACAAACCCTGAAGGCACCTTACTTCAGGCATTTGGTAGCAATCACGTCAGGAAGTTTCTCAGATTTAGTCATGGCTGGTGAGATGGTTGAACTGGCCATAAAACAAGGAAATATTGAATGAGGTGACTCTAGTAGAAAGCCTCCCGTGAAGAACAAGGACCACGAGATCAACAATGTCAACACCTACAACGCTATCAAAGGTGTTACGATCTCGAAAACAACTGCAGCTGTACCATCTGGTACTTCTAACCAATCTCAGAGAGAACCAATAAGGGAAAGAGAAATGGAATAGTTCAATCCCATTCCCATAACATATAAAGAGTTATATCAACAACTCTTCGACATTCACGTAGTATCACCCTACCCAATGGATCCGATAAAGCCCCCATATCCAAAATGGTTTGACGAGAATACCCACTGTGAATATCATGGAGGTGTGCAGGGGCATTCAAATGAAAACTGTCTCGTCTTTAAGAGAATGGTACAACGAATGTGAAATAAAAATTGGATTCATTTCAACTCTGGAGCACCGAACGTCGCCCAGAATCCCTTGCCTAATAATCCAGAGACCAGGATCAACGCAATGTCCACAGAGAATGACAAGAAAGTCAAAACTTGTGTTTCGGAAGTTAAAGCTCCTTTGGCTTGGGTATGGAGCCAAATGGTAAAGGTAGGGCTTCTTACACCCCATTCACGGCCAACAAGGATAGGAGATGGTAACCATTGTTGTTACCACAACGAAGAGGGGAATAATGTGCAAGAATGCCCAGAGTTCATATCGTTAGTCCAGCTCATGATGGACTGGAAAGAGCTAGAATTTTACGAGAAAATTCAAGATTCTTTGGAAGAAGATGTTTGCGCTACCGAAGAATCATCTGACAAGAGGTATGTCAGGGGTGGTCCTCTGGTAATTACCCCTAAAGTGAAGACGACAACAACAACACAAGCCAGGGTGGTGATCACAGCACCTCAGCCTTTTCAATACAAGGACAATCGACAAGTGCCATGGAAGTACGAATGCCAAGTAAGTACTTCTAAATGATGTGATGGCAAAGTGGGAAAAAGACTACTTGAGCCATTCAAAGAAGATGTGCTAATTGTCAATGAACCTATAAAGGAGGAGGAAGCTAAAGAGTTCCTCAAAATCTTGAAGCATATCGAGTACAACATTGTAGAACAGCTACATAACTTACCTACGCGTACTTCAATGCTAGCACTATTTTTAAACTCAGAAGCACACCGAGAAGCATTGTTGAAGGTCCTTAATCAAACGTTCGTGCCACAAGACATACCAGTCAGCAAAATGGATTGACTGGTGAACAATATTCAAGCCGATAATCTCATCTTGTTTTCAGATGATGAGGTTCCATTCGGAGGAAAAGGCCAAACTAAGGCATTACACATCACTACCTACTGCAATGGGCATGCCTTACCGAGTGGGTTGATCGATAACTGCTCAGCCCTGAACATGATGTCTTTGGTGACATTGAAGAGGCTACCAATAGATACCTCTCATATGAGAGTCTATTAGAACGTGGTCCGAGCATTTGATGGGACCAAGAGAGAGGTTATCAGCAAGATCGATGTATCGTTGACCATCGGACCTGTCACCTATAACGTCGAGTTCCTTGTGATGGATATCATGCCGTCCTATAGCTGTCTTTTGGAAGGCCATGGATTCATCAAGCAGGTGCAGTACCCTCCACGCTGCACCAAAAAGTTAAATTTGTTATTGATGGGGCTCTGGTAATCATTAATGCTGAGGAAGATATCATTGCAAGTGTAACCACGGAGGCCCCATATATCGAGGTAGATTTGTGAATGCCACATTTATGGTAGAGAGAAAAAGGATTCCTAAACCCCGACTCTCTAAATGTACAAAGATGGAGATTAAGAAAACCTTAGGTTGAGATGCTAAAATCGGAAGAGGGTTTAGGAAACAACTGCAATGAAGGATTAATCCAGTCTTTCCCATTTCAAAGCTAGATCAGTTTGGGCTCGGTTTTCAGCCCAGTTATCAGGAAAAGAGGAAAGAGCTCCAAAAGAACCGGGAAAGGAGATTAGCAAGGTTGACTGGAAATGAACTCCAATGGAAGCCTATGACGTTCCCGCCTCTTTACAAAACATTCAAGTCAGACGGTTATGTGTTTGAAACCACCATATCCGAGTTAGAAGTGGCTCTGGAAGATTTGAACATCAATGTTGTGACCACATAAGATGTTGAAAATGGAGAAAGATCCGAGATATGCCCTCTGCCACCTGGGTTCGTGCCTAGCAGTTGGCGGTGGAAGAACTAAATATGGTTTACAAGAGTCTTTCAGAGTAATATTCGAACTATCCCTATTTGCCTATACTCGGGGCAATAGGTGATCTTTTGTAAGGGTGAATAAATATTTGGTTTAATTTCAATAAAGGATGCATTTTTTTTCTATATCCATGGCAAACAAATTTTGTTTCTTTTTTTTGGATTCATTGTTTATTTTCTTTATTTCAGCACTTCATTTCCATTTCTCTTTCAAATTTAATTCTTTGACTGTTTCGTGTGGGATGTTTCCTCTCACACACCCATACCTTCTTTGTTCCTTCAGGACCCCAGATAACGATAATGTAAGCACTGATGATCTTGATCTGAAAGTGGATTTTGAATCAGCCATTTGTCTCGGGGAATTTGATGAATGCGACACTGAAGAGGAGTGTAACTTGCCTACCGAATTATTGATGATGGTAGAAAGAGAAGAGAAGCAAATTCTACCACATGAGGAAGCGATAGAAATCTTAAATTTGGGCACTGAAGATGACAAAAAATAGGTTAAAATTGGCACAACTCTCTCGGCTGAAGCAAGACAAAGCCTGATAGTTATACTTCAGGAGTATAGACATGTTTTCGCCTGGTCATATCAAGACATGTCGGGACTAGACACAGATATGGTAGTTCATAAACTGCCAATTAAGCCAGAGTTCAAACCCGTGCAACAAAAACTGAGAATGATGCGACCTGAGATGCTCCTTAAAATTAAAGAAGAAGTCAAAAAGCAATTCGATGTCGGTTTCCTCCAAGTGGCCAAGTACCCAGAATGGGTGGCCAATATATTTCCAGTTCCGAAGAAAGACGGGAAGGTTCGTATGTGCGTCGATTACCGGGACCTTAACAAGTCGAGCCCTAAAGACAATTTTCCTCTGCCTCACATTGACACATTGATAGATAATATGGCCGAGAATGCTTTCTTTTCGTTCATGGATGGATTTTCAGGATATAACCAGATCAAGATGCATACTGAAGACATGGAGAAAACCACGTTCGTCACAATGTGGGGAACCTTCTGCTACAATATGATGCCTTTCGGACTAAAGAATGCTGGGGCAATATATCAGAAAGCTATGGTGACCCTGTTCCACGACATGATACCAAAATAGATAGAAGTTTATGTCGACGACATGATTGTTAAGGCACAAACCGAGAATGAACATGTCGAGAATCTAAGGAATCTCTTCCAGAGATTGAGGAAGTTCCAACTAAGATTGAACCTTAGCAAGTGCACTTTCGGGGTAACATCCAAGAAACTATTAGGCTTCGTAGTCAGCAGGAAAGACATCGAGGTTGATCATGATAAAGTTAAAGCTATCCAAAATCTGCCTTCCCCACGAATACAGAAGGAGGTTTGAGGTTTTCTGGGCAGATTGAACTGTATAGCACGGTTCATATCCCAGCTAACCGACAAGTGTGACCCAATCTTCCGTCTTCTCCGAAAGAAAAATCCAAGAACATGGGATGAAAAGTGTCAGATTGCATTCGAGAAAGTAAAGAAGTATTTATCTCACTCTCCTGTCCTGATGTCCCCTATCTCGAGCAAACCTCTGTTCTTGTATCTCTCTATATTCGAGAACTCCATGGGGTGTGTCCTAGGTCAACATGATGAATCTGGAAAGAATGAAAGAGCCATCTACTATTTAAGCAAGAAGTTCACCGATTGCGAGGTTAGGTATCCTCCTATCGAGAAGGTCTGTTGTGCTTTAGTCTAGGCTACAAAAAAACTCCGACAATACATGTTGTACCACACTACTTGGCTGATTTCCAAGTTAGATCCCCTGAAGTACATGATGGGTGTACCTGCTCTATCTAGAAGGTTAGCCTGATGGAAAATGCTCTTGTCTGAATTTGACATCGAGTACGTGAGTCAGAAAGCAATCAAAGGAAGTGCCATATCAGAGTTCTTAGCCAGTAGAACCGATGACAGTTATGAGCCTTTGGACTTTGACTTCCCAGACGAAGACTTGATGGCTATCTCCTTAGAAGACGCAAGGACTTCAACGGACAGTTTCTGGAGAATGCATTTCGATGGTGCGTCAAATGCATTAGGACATGGCATCGGGACAATCCTAATTTCTCCAGAAGGGAGTCACTACCCATTTACTAGCATACTCAACTTCGATTGCACCAATAACATGGCGGAGTATGAAGCATGTGTCTTAGGAATCCGAGATGCACTGGGGCAAAGCATAAAGACCTTGCGGATATATGGAGATTCAGTGTTAGTAATTTACCAGCTCCGCGAAGAGTGGGAAACCAAGGATGTAAAGTTGTTAGAGTACCGAAAACTAATACTGAATCTGCTCGAAGAGTTCGACGAAGTCACCTTCCACTATGTGGTAAGAGAAGAAAATCAAATGGCTAACGCTTTAGTTACCTTGGCAGCCGCATTCAAGGCTGGTGGGGAGGCTGAAATGATGCCAATCGACATGCAGTCGTATGAGTACCCAGTTCATTGCTACCAAATTGAAGAAGTGAAAGACACTAAGCCTTGGTACTACGACATTCTACAGTACATCAAGCATCGGAGTTATCTAGAAGAAGCTACTGAAATCGATAAGAGAACCCTTAGAAGGATGGCAGCTGGATACGTCCTTGACGGAGAGGTTTTATACAAGAAAATCCATAATCAAGTCCTGTTAAGGTGCGTCGATGCTGAAGAGGCAAAAATGACAGTGGAAGAAGTACATGATGGAGTTTATGGAGCACATGCAAATGGACATATGATGTCAAGACAAATAATGAATGCGTCCACACTAGAAAGGGATTGCATCAACTATGCTAGAAGATGTCATAAATGTCAGATTTACGGAAATAAAATCAATGTTCCACCTCATCCACTTCATGTAATGACGTCACCATGGCCTTTCTTTGTGTGGGGCATGGACGTTATCGGGAAAATCCATCCGAAGGCTTCGAATGGTCACCGTTTCATTCTCGTAGCAATTGATTAGTTCACGAAATGGGTAGAGGCTGCATCATATGCCAGTGTCACTCAGTCCACTATTTGCAAGTTTCTGAAGAAAGAGATTATATGTCGGTATGGTCTACCTGAAAGGATCATTACCGATAATGCTACAAACTTGAACAACAAAATGATGAATGATGCTTGTGAACAGTTCAACATAAAACATCACAATTCCACTTCTTACAAACCAAAGATGAACGGAGCAGTAGAAGCAGCAAACAAAAACATTAAGAAGATAGTGGAAAAAATGACTGAAACTTACAAAGACTGGCATGAGAAGTTGCCTTTCGCTTTGTTTGCCTATCGAACCTCGGTACGAACCTCGACTGGGGCAACTCCATTTTCACTAGCTTATGGAATGGAAGCAGTGCTACCCATTGAAGTAGAGATTTCTTCACTTCGGGTCTTGACAGAAGTCAAACTGGATGATGCAGAATGGGTACAATCCAGATATGATCAACTTAATCTGATATATGAAAAGAGACTTAAAGCCATTCATCATGGTCAAATCTATCAGAAACGAATGATCTGAGCACATGACAAAAAGGTGCGCCAGAGAATATTTCGCGAATGAGATCTGGCGCTAAAAAGAATTTGGCCAGTCCAGAAAGATTTTCGAGGAAAATGGATGCCAAATTAGGAATGACCTTATGTCGTGAAAGAGGCCTTCTCTGGAGGAGCTCTTGTCCTGGCTGAAATGGACGGACCTGAACTGCCACATCCCATCAACTTGGATGCAGTCAAAAAGTACTTTGCTTAAGATGAAAACTCGAGAGGGCATCTTAAGTTGAAAAAAAAAATCGTTTAGGGTGAAAACCCGAAAGGGCGCCCTAAATTGAAAAAAGAAAAGGAAAAGAGTAAAAAGAGAAAAAGAAAAGAAAAGAAAATAAGGTGGGTTCAAGATGAAAACCCGCAAAGGGAATCTTACAACCAATGATGGGTCCAAGTTGAAAAGCCGAAAGGGCGATTTGGATATCAGTTCAAGAAATCCAGACAGTGGAAGTATCCCGGCATCTGAATCTCCAACAAACTCAACAAGTCGGAGAAGGATTGCACTCTCTAGAACATTGTCGCATTCTCAAAGATCCCTTGGCAAAGGCTGTGGTCAAAGTCACTTTACGGCTTTTCAGCTCAGAAGTGCCCACATTATCGAGATCTAAGACATTCATTTTCCAAAATGTTTGTCATGTATTATTTGATCTTTTCTCTCTTATGAATAAAGACAATCTTTCCTCTAAATCAATTCCGCTTGAGCATCTTGAATTGGATTTAAACCTAATGATTTATTTATTCTTGCAAAAGATAATCGCATATTACTGTACAAAGATTCATTGAAAAGTACAGGTACCCGAAAACCGATCGAGGCTCATGCACATACTTGAGATGGTCGAGAAGCAGCTCCCAAATATGCACATCGGATTTAAACATTTGAAGAATTCAAGATCAGAGATCAGAACTTCAAGATTTCAAAATCCAGAGTCAACAACAACAGGCAATCGGAGATCGAGATTTCTCTCCAGAGCCCCAAGATAACATATGTTGCATATGCATTTTAGGCACACCTAAGAGTCTTGCATTCATAGCATCACATATATGCATAACTTTATCAGGTTGTAGCTAGAGTCAATTTCAACTTCACAGCGGAGGATTTTGAACTCTAAGCGACATAATTTGCTCGAGATTAGATTTCAACTTCACAACGAAGGAAATCTAGCTCGAAGCCAAACTTCAAAATAAAGGGGTCATCCACGGTTTCAACTTCACAGCGAAGGGAATCGTGTCCACCCGTAACATACAATACTTGGATTTCAACTTCACAACGAAGGATATTCAAGTCTAGTTCAACTCCACGACGGAGGATATCGTACCCACACAACCCGCGGTTTCAACTTCACGACGAAGGGAATCGCGCACACAAGACAACACAAGCTCAACTTCACAGCGAAGGGGCGGCTGACTGTCAACTTTCCGATTTCAGAGCCAATTTCAACTTCACAACGAAGGATATTGGACTCAAGACAGCACAAGCTCAACTTCACAGCGAAGGGGTGGCTGACTGTCAACTTTCCAATTTCAAAGCTAATTTCAACTTCACAACGAATGATATTGGACTCAAGATAGCACAAGCTCAACTTCACGGCAAAGGGGCGGCTGACTGTCAACTAACAATTTCTCAATTCCAGAATCAATTTCAACTTCACGGCGGAGGATATTATACTCGGAACAATACACCTTACTTGGATTTTAACTTCACGACGAATGATATCCAATTATCAGGCTCAACTTCACGACGAAGGGGCCATATACGATTCCAATTTCACAAACAGGTTGACCCAACTTCACTACGAAGGAGTCACCTGTAGCACATCAACACCAAAGTCTTCAGGATAAGTTTCACCTTCACGACGAAGTATCTTAAGCCAGAAGACGATTCATAGGCTACTTGCCAAAAGTTCTAAGTTCAATTTCAACTTCACGACGAAGGATATCGTGCTCAGAAGCTACCAGTTCAACTTAACCTCACGACGAGGGAGTCATTTCATATTTTAGTTCAATTTGACAAACCAGTTTCAATATCGGATTTCAACTCTGTGACAGAGGATATTCGATATGACCGAAATTCATGTCTTTTAATCTTTGCTCCATTTTCGTTATACGATAATGAGCAAAGAGCGGCAACTGAAGACATCAAATTTCATCCATTGATATAGTTTTTATAATATATTTTTTATTATTTCAAACTATATTATAGAATATAATATTTATTTGTTTATTCATGGGGTTACATATTACAAGCCCATTACACGAAAATGAAACAGCCCAAGACTGGCTGCATGCAAACCATTCCAGCGAGCTAGGGTTTCCAGAACCCTAGCCTCCCAAGCGGCGCCCCGTCCCATGCCCGAATCTCACGATCGTATGACTCCCACGCCACCAGCTCCGATTCCTCCGGCGCAAGGATCTCGCAAGACGCCACCAACAAATAACAGAGTTAGAGTTTTGATAGGACTCAAACACTCCAAATATTAGACTATAAATAAGCTTGTAATCAACACAATAGGGGATCACAGAGACCATACCCACGAAATACCAGGCAATACCAGAAAATACGAAGCAAATACACAATCATTCGAAGCGTTGTAACATTTTTGCGAAAGAAATAAAGGTGAAGATTTCCATACCTTTACGATTTACGGGTTTGCATGTTGATTTTGACATCTTTTTGTTGTGTTTTGATCCGAGAGAAAACCAAGAGAAATATTTTCGGCCGATGAACGAAGTGAGCCCATTGTTTTCGAAATCTATTTCCTAAATCTACGTTTTTCCGAGAGGATTTTTGAAACACCACTTTGTTTTTCGGATTGTGGAAAGGAAATTCTCTTAAAATATATGGGTTTTGTGGTGGACCACCGCCAATGAGAGGCGGCGAGGCGGTGGCCATCGATTTTTCTTAAAATAGTGTTACTTGTTTTTTTTATTTGTATATATTTTATTATTACTATTAGTATATATCTTATATATTTTACTTTATTTTGTTCTCTTTTATTTATCTTTTTTTCCATGTTGCATCTTCGGTTTCTTTTATTATTAGTCTTTTTATTTCAGGCATGTTCATTTTATTTACTTATTTATTTTCATTTTTTATATATATTGTTTTTTACCTTTCATCTCTTTTTCCTTCATGACATCTGATTCTTATGTTTTTGATTTTAGTTAGTTGTACCACTTTTTATCTAACCCGTTTTTGACTTAGAAAGGGGCACTCTTTTAAATCCATCAGAGGTAAGTAATTTAGATCGTCACTTTACCTTTTAATTTAAAGTTACATTTTTCTTAACTAAAGACAACTGGAAATTACATAGTACCGAAAGGGCAGTTCAAGGGTGCTAATCCTTCCTTGACTGTAACCGACTCCCGAATCCAACACATCACTGGTAAGACGCATGTCAGGTAAAAAATAAGGTATTCGGTCAACCAATTTACTTTTAAATAAATGATCGGTGACGACTCTTAACCCAATTCACTCACGTCGAAGCCCGATTCTGGGGCTCAACCGAAAGGCGGTTCCGACGATGTTAATGGTGAGAATCATCTGATTCTCAAAATGTTTTTAGAATTTCATTTGCAGCAGAAAGTAACAGTATTAAATTCCAAAGATTTTTGAGTTTATTCCTCAACTCAGTTATCTTAAATTGGATGAGATACTAATCTGCAATGATTCTATGAGCTCCTAACATGAGAATATATGACGAATTCCACTTAACAGATCATAATCCATTGTTTGGCTTCTTTTCA